CGTCTCTATTTTGACGTTAGTGTTAATATCAAAAACTAATGATGTACTATACAGTGGCTGACTGAACATAATAAGAAAAAAAGAAGAAAAAGAAATGATGACATTCATGTGAGTACAAATACCAATCTGAAAAGTAAAAGGTAAGAAGAATCCTGAATGTGTAAGTAATTGATGAATTAGACAAATGACAGGTTGTGTGTGTGTGTGTGATTGATTTTCAGTGAATGGTTCAGCTTTTTGTAGGGCCTCAGGGAGAGCCCAGGTGAGCCTTTCAATTAGTTGGTATCTGTTCTCAGAACATGGGAATCTCATCTCTTAGTCCAATAGTCAATCCGGTAAACTTTGAGGTCTTGAAGAGTTTCTGGCCTCAGAGACCATGTTGCAAACCCTTGTAAGTATAGGCATTCTAGGGTATGTTCAGAGTCCTCGTTAGCCGGCACCACTGTACGATGATTTCGGACAGCATTTTCCAAAGAAGTACCTCTTGAGTCTCTGTTCAATCAGTTCCCTACACGTCCTTACACTAGTTATGTTATCATTGTGTTTCAGGATAATCCCCACATGTGATTTCTGCTATTTCCTACCAGTCCTGTTTCTGATCTTCCTTTATGGTAGGGGTTGGTAAGCAACTTATGTGGTATATGACATGGTGTGGTAGTTGTCTGCCTTCAGAGGACCAAATTATGTCTAGAAATTGTACTGTAGTTTGAGATCCTCAGCCCTAACTTAGGTCAACTGTCCATCCTCTCTGAGTGTAAGGAATTCCATCACTTTACTTTGATGCTAGTCTGTTCTCCAAGTTGTCCTCAGAAATAAGGATGTCATCCATGTAGGGAATACTGGTTTATGTGTGTGTATTTGTTTTAGGAAAGGCCTGGATGTTCCCGAAAATAATACGGTTGAGCACCCTTTCCTGTTCTTATTGGCTATTAGTAAATCTTTTGTGAAGTATTCGTTTTTAAATAGACTGTCTTTTTATGGTTGATAAGTAGGAATTCCTTACTGACAAGTCTTTGTCAGAGTGTGTATTGCAAATCTTTACTTCCCAGTCTGTGGCTCACCTTTTCATTTTCTTAATGGTCATGAGATAAGGAGAAATGTCACAATTTTATGAAGTCTCATGAATTCTTTTAAATGGTTAGTGCGTTCTGTGTCCTACCCCAAGATCAACATGTTCTACATTTTCTTCCAGAAACTGTCTAATGTTAAGCTATAATCCATCTCAAATTTCTAAATTCCGTTTTTAATTCTAATAGGATATTTATAGACTATTTTGGATTTTCTGTGTACAAAATCATATTATCTGTAAATAGTCACAATCATCCCCTCAATTCTTATGCTTTTTGTTTCTCTTGCCTTAAAACACTGGGTAGATTCTCCAATGCAATGTTGAATAGAGTAGCATTGTTTGAAGATTTTAATATACCTTCGAAGATTTTAATACACCTTTCTCAATATCTGATAGAAAAAGCAGACAAAACATTGGTAACAAATGTGACATAATTGACATATATGGAACATTACATAATAAGTGCAGAATACATTATTTTTAAGTGATCCTAGAATATTTACCCAAATAGATGATATGTTGGGCCATAAATCAAGTCTACACATTTTAAAAGCCTGAAATTAACTAGATTATATTCTTAGGCCACAGGGGAATTGAGCCACAGTCATAATGAAAAGAAAACCAGGAAGTCCCTCAGTGTTTAAAAATTAAATGTAACTTTGCTACATATCCTAAGGGTCAGAGAGAGAATCGCAATGGAAATTCTCAACCTTTCCTACATCAGAGCTCACAGACAATGGCACTTTATCTGTAAAGAGCACTCACTATCATAAGCTAGATAGGAGTTAAGCCTCAAATCAGAGGTCTGCCTGTCCCAGCCTGTGGTTCCCCCGCCCCCCTCCCCCAGCCCAGCTGCCCTTTCTGGTGGCCCTGAGCTAAGAGGGACAACATGGCCGTATGGAAATGGGAAGCTCCACACTCCTAGTGATGACAGTGCCCCCTGCCCCCCAGCTGCCCTTTCTGGTGGCCCTGAGCTAAGTGTCGTGACAGTGAGCTACTCTGTTTTATTCTGTAGTCCAAGGGGATGGTGCCAGACTGTCTGGCAGTTCTAAAATTCTGACTTTAAATTATCTGTGTGCTTCAGAGATTTGGGCAGGAGAAGGGGAGCAGCCCAGCATCTGTGAACACCTCTGTTACCTGTGTTGAGCATGGAACAGGTAACCTTCTGTAGGCATCATTTTGATTTCTTGGTACTATTGTTAAAGGTGCTTTTGTCTCAAGTTCCTCCCTTTAGTAATAATTATAATGTTACTGGAAATTTTTATCTTTTACCATCCATGGGCCCGGATCCTGAGCTCCCAGGGAAGCTATCCTTTAGCATTTTACCAAGCTCAAAATGACTGGGCAAAACCTCAGAGCATGGACCCTCTTTCTGCCCCAGGCACATATTGTAGATCTGCTTCGAGAAGAAAAAGATAACCCAACGATGCCATTGCAAACATAAAGTTAAGAAAAACAAAACCTCTCTGGCTCCCATAAGATTAAAGTCATACCGATTTGCACGTACTGAAAACATAAGAAAAAGTCTGTAACTCTCTGGAATGTTCTTCCTTATGGTGATGTGTAACTCTGTATGTAAAACAAGACAACAAATATATAAACCTGCCCCAAATGTTCCTTCCCCGGAGCACTCCCTTCTTTGTGAAGATTGTCTCCCAGGCTGCTGTCCTGACTTGGGTTTGAATAAAACTCTCTTCCTTTCTCTCTCAACTGTTTAAAAGGGTTTGTTCATTCAGTGTCGACAATAACAATATGTTTTCTTTTTAAGTGAAAAATAAATGTTCCTGGTTCCCAACTCCAACGGCACAGAAGGGCGGCTCGTCTTCATCCTGGAGGCTTCCCTGCAGAACCAAGCATACATATATATATTCCATCATGAACGGGCTCATCCTACAAGGATGCTTTGAAGGTCCAAGAAGCACTATCCACTCTCTGGGTGAGACCAGAAGGTGAAGTTCTTCCTGCTTAGAGCATTACTTATGGGTTTTTTTTTTTTTTTAAGATTTTATTTATTTATTTGAGAGAGAGAGAGAATGAGAGATAGCACGAGAGGGAAGAGGGTCAGAGGGAGAAGCAGACTCCCTGCTGAGCAGGGAGCCCGATGTGGGACTTAATCCTGGGCCTCCAGGATCATGACCTGAGCCGAAGGCAGTCGCTTAACCAACTGAGCCACCCAGGCGCCCTACTTATGGGGTTTTAAAACTGCCTTGGAAATGTGGGAAACCCTTGCATTTCCTAAAGCCCAAGCCTTAGAGGGTCTGAGAGCAGGTGACCTTGCCAGGAGCCAGGAACAGCTCTGCAGGCAGGGTTGGTGCAGGAAGGGAAGGGGCAGGGATCTGGGGGTGGTCTGCAGCCAGAGGGGTCCGTGGAAGGGGCCGGATGTCTGGGGGGGGCCCTGCCCACGATCCTACCCATGCCTGCACCGCCAAGCCAGGTATTGGGGCCAGGAGGTGCCTCCAGGATCACCTGCAGTCGCAGGGAGGCGTGGGCATGAGGGCAGGTTGCCCGGTACAGGCAGGCGCCGCATTCAATGGGCTCGGGGCACCACCCTCCCCGACCAGTCACCATGTGGGGGTAGAGCTACCTCTCTGTGGGCAGACTGGGAGCTGCCCTGGGATGCAGAGGTGGGGGCAGGTGAAGGGGAATTCCGAGAGACCCTGGGTGGGGGTCCTGGGTAGGTGAGTGCGCTCTGCGCACTGGGGTGGGGGTTCCGGGGGTAGGGTGCGCCCTGGGTGGGAGTTAGAGTCCTCCAAGACTGCGGGGACTGAGCTAATCTTGCAAACTGAGTTTTCTTTTTCCCTCGAAAGTCTCTTCTGCCTGATGTCCATCAACTGGCTGTATCCCCCAGACCGGTGAACTCCAGGGCGCCTGCTCACCCCAGGTTTTTTGGGATGGGTTGCAGACATTTCAGGGTTTCCCGTGTTCCCCAGGAAGAGTGCACGTAATGACCGCATATGGTCCCCAACTTCAGTGGAGTGCCCCCTGCCCCCTGGCACACACAGTGCAGGCAATGGACCTTGAGCAGCACCCCGAGTTCAGCAGGGTGTCCCCTGTTTCCCCAGGCAGAGGTGTGGTGGTAACAAGTCCCAGAGCCATCCCCCAACTTCAGCATTGTGCCCGGTGTCCTCTGGGGATGGTGGTAATGGGCTGTCAGGGTCGTGCAGGAGGGTCCTCCAGGTGGGGGCCTGGAGGCTGGAGTAAACCAGACCCCACTCAAGGGGGGCCCTCAGGGGGCTCTTGTGTGAGGAGGAAGTTGGGTAAGGGGACCCCAGGCAGTGGTGACCTCACTTCCCTGACAACAGAGCCCAACAGAATTTGGCAAACCCAGTAACCAGGCACCCACATTCCAGAGACAGCCCCCTGCCCAGCTCACTTTGTTGGAGATCCTCGAACGAAGAACATGTTTGCGTGTTGCATCCCAAAGTCCGGAGGCTGCAGGCTGAAGAAAGCGCACCCTGCAAACGCTGTCCCCCACTGGGGATGTCGTGTCAGGGCTCCCCACCGCCTCTGGCCATTTGGCCGGAAGGACAGAAAGGTGACACCAGGAGGCCCAGAGCCGTCCAGCCCAGCCCCACTCGCTCTGATCTGACCTGTGCAGCCCCAGGTCCCCTCCCCGTGTGTGTGTGTGTATGTGTGTGTGTGTGTGTGTGTGTGTAAAGAGGGGTCATGTAGGGTGGGGCCACCCCGAGCAGGAGCAGGCTGATGAGGGGTCAGATACCCAGTGGGCAGGTCATGTTCAAGGTCAAGGCTGGCTGGGTGGGATGGGGTGTGCGGGTGATGCCCCTTCTGCCCACGGTTTATCCCGATAGCCCTGCAGGGCTGGGCTACTGCATCCCGGGTGCAGGGCTGTGCACGCACAGGTCTGTGTCTGATCTGGAAGCAGCAGGGGGACTGGGCAGGAGGACGGTGAGGATGGCCGGGCAGGGCTGTGATGCCTCCAGCCGGCTACCCGTCCCTGTCTTTGCAGAAGTCAATGGATGACATGGAGGGGAGGCTGGTGGACACGCCCTCCATCTCCTCGACAGAGGGGGTGACCCCACAGGGGTCCCCAGGAGCAGGTGCTGGGGATTGTAGGGGAAGACCTCCGACACCACCCAGACCACTGTCCCAGGTGGTTGTTCACCGGAGAGTGGTCCAGGAGCCGGAGCCCACGGAGGCCGAGCCCGAGGGTGAGAAGGCTGGGGCTGGGTGTTTGTGGTGTGTGGGGACGGGTCGGGGCTGGCCCCACAGGGAGGAGCCCCCAGAGGCTGGTGTGGGGCCAGGAGCAACGACTGGGCACAGAGCACCCAGCGGGTGGACTGCAGTCAGGGAGACGTCCCCGTGAGGGTCCCTTCCTGGCTGCGGCTTCTCTGGGAGGCCCTGGGCTGGGTTCTGTCTCTGCAAAGGCTCACGGAGAGCAGGCACGGGGGTGAGCTTTTCTCCTCTCACAGCTGCTCCACCACTTGAGGAGCTAGAGCCGGCTCCAACTCCCTCAGCAGCTCTGGAGGGAGGGGTGGTGCCTGCAGCGACTTCAGGAGGAGACCAGGAGCCGGCAGGTGACCCGGCACCTGCCCACGGAGAGCCTGACGCAAACCAGGAAGAACAGGCACCTGCTCCTGCCCCAGCCCCTGCCGCTGTTACAGTTCCTGCCGCTCCCCTGCCCCTGTCTGTGCTCCTGTTCCTGCCCCTGACCCAGTTCCTGCCCTGGATCCTGCCCCTGTCAGAGCCACTGTCCCTGACCCAGATCCTACCCTTGCTCCTGCCCCTGTCCATACTCCTGCCAGAGCTGCTGCCCCTTCCCCCGCCCCTGCCCGTGCTCCTATTCCTGCCCCTGACCCAGGTCCTGCCCTGGATCCTGCACCTGCCACTACTGCTGATCCTGTCCCTTCCCTTGCCCCTGGCCCTGCTCTTACATCTGTCCCTGCCCCTATCCTAACCCCTGCCCCTACTCCTGCTCCTGCAGGGCTCCCACAGCCACATCCAGAGCCCACAGCCCTGCAGGGAGAACTCCTGTACAATTACCCTTAGTTCCATCACCGGACCCCGACGCCCCGCCAGATTGTTTCATCCCCTCCCCCTATGTTCTTTCTCTCTGGTTCATATTAACTGTTATTTTATCTTTTCATGTTCTGTATACTGTTTATTATTTGTTTTAAATAAAATTACTTGTTTTCAATTGAACACGTCATGAGCATTAAGTACATTCCCAACGCTGTGCCACCACACCCCAGAACATTGCCGCAGAATATCTCCTTCCCCAAAGGAGTCCCCGAACCAGAAGCCCTCCCTGCCCATTTCTCTCCCAGCCCAGACCCTGGCAACCCCTAAGCTGCTTTCTCTCTCTGTTCCTTTACCTGTTCTGGATGTTTCTGTAAGTGGAATCACACAGTAGGGGCCTTTGTGTCTGCCCACCTATTTTCAAAGGGGACTTGTTTTCTTCTGTGTTTATTTGACATAGAATTTCCCTTATTCGATATTGAAATGCCCGATGGATTACACATCAGCTGTAATCATAGAGGCCACTTTAGGAATTATGGGCACAATCTCAGGGCGGAGACCCCTGTTCCTGCTGGGACACCACAGCCTGACCCCAGACAGGACAGGGCTGGTTCCTCCTGTGGCCCACACAGAAAGCAGGGAAATGCAGAAAGCTGGAAGACACACCACAAAAGGCAAAAGCATTGCTCACAACCCAAGGCCAGAGAAAGGTTTCACCTGACTCTGGTCCAAGCCACGCTCCAAGTCACTGGGTTCCACAGGGACAGAGACCAAACACACCAAGTTCAAAGGGGAGGATAGGTACGTGGGAAGTATGTGTCAGAGATGCGGGAGCTCCTGGGGAAGAACTCCAGCAATGGAAACCCTACGGAGGCAGCGCTGGTCACCCTCAGACTGGCAGGTATCTGGTCTGGGGACCAGCAGCCCTGGGGAGAACATGAGGAAGGCAGAGGTCCAGTGCAGGTCCCCTGGAGAGAAGTGTGTTGGGCACCCCTGTCTGGGAGAACAGTGAGCAGCACCCATCCCAGTCTGCAGGTGCACCCATCACCTAGCATGCTCGGCCTAAACCCTCAGTGTGATCGCTCTATTCTGTAGTGTGGTGGCACAGCGTTGGGAATGTACTTAATGCTCAATGTGGGGGGGCTGGGGAGGGACCATGCCTGGAGGACCTGTGGCTCTACTATCAGAGGTCACCAACCTGATCTGTGCACAGGTGGGGAAACCCGGCCACACCCCGAAGAATTTCTGGAAAAAGTAGCCATCTCAGTGGCAGCTGACCTGGGAGATCAACCTTCCCAGTGCTTGAGGTGGGATTGAGCCACAGACCAGCACACTAGCCAGAAATGGAAGAAGGAGAACCAGTTCTTCATTTCAATAGTTTCTAAGTTACCGGTTTGTTCTTATGGACAAAAGAGGGAGGGGGCGCTCTTTTGGTATTGTTAGTGGGTACCATAGTCCTTCCTAGGGAACATTATCAGATTCTATTGGGAACTTGGTCTTTGTTATTGTGGAAGAATCAGGAGTCAACAAATTGTCTCCTGTTTCATTTTCCAGGAACATTTCCACAATATTTGGTTTCACACCTCTACCATTTTGAAATCATCCCAAGTTTGGCACCAGCTCACTCTTCTCTGCAAAGGGTATGTTTGAACCAAGAAAAAAAAAAACAGCTTCTGGGTGACTGGAAGACTCTAGGATCAGAATTCCGTTGGTAAGCAGTTACTGTGACCCTAAATTCTGAACAAGCTCCTGACACCCAGACTAAATAGATTTCAGATTTAGAAACTTCAGATAGAAATTTTGTGTCCATGGGGACAACTGAAGAGCATGTGTAATCCCTAAACCTAACTCTAACCCCTAACTTTAACCATAAAACCTAACATGTCCCTAAACCCCAAACTGGAACCCTGAATCTCAGTCCTGAAATGCACACCCAAACTCTGAACCCAAGCCCTGAATGCAAGCCCTGAACCACGAACTCAATCCCTGAACCAGAACTCTTGAGTATGAGCCCTGAACCCAAACCCCAGCAAGAACCCAAACCCCAAATTTGACCTTGAACTTTATCTCCTAAGCCCTGTCTTAAACCCTAAATCATAAGCCTAAAGCCCTAAACTCTAACTCTAACCATTACCCTCACCCTCACCCTGACCCTAAACCCAAACCCTGATCTAGAACTCTGACACAAACCTGAACCTGAACCCAGACCCAAACCCTTAACCATACTTTGTTTATGCATTCACCATTGATGGACATTTGCATGGTTTCTACCTTGTGATTATTGTGAACCTTGTTCGGGTTGGGGGCTAGGGTTAGGGTCTTGGGGTGGGCTCAGGGCCAGGCTTGAGATCAAGTTTAGGTCAGAATCTTGTTCAGTCAGGGCCAGGGTCATGTTCAGTGGCACTGTTTGGGTCAGGGACCGTTGTCATTCCATATTGTTTCCAATTAATTGTTCCTTTGCTATTTTTGGAGAGGTTGGGGGGATATTGGGCTCCATTCAGCTTGAATTTTCAGAATTTAATGGCTTCAGCTGGACCCGGGGAGAGCGCAGGTGCTTCCATTGAGCGGGGAGCTCACCTTGTCCTGCACTGCCTCCCCCGCCTGCAGAGGGCGCCCGACCCCAGCTCCCGCCCGGAGCGCGGCCTGCGCAGCCGCCGTGACAACAGCCGGACTTCCTGGGAACCTGATGTGGACGCTTCTGGGGGCCGTGGAGCCGCGTCCACACGGACAGGAGCCCTGCCTCCTCAGGACCCGCTGCGGAGGCTTCTAGAGGACACGGGGCGGCGTCCACAAGGACAGGAGCCGGGCCTCCTCGGACTCGCTGTGGAGGCTTCTAGAGGACACGGGGCCGCGTCCACGCTGACAGCATCCCGGCCTCCTCGGGACCCGCTGTGGAGGCTTCTAGAGGACCCAGGGCGGTGTCCACAAGGACAGGAGCCGGGCCTCCTTGGACCCGCTGTGGAGGCTTCTAGAGGACCCGGGGCGGTGTCCACAAGGACAGGAGCCCGGCCTCCTCAGGACCCGCTGTGGAGGCTTCTAGAGGGCACGGGGCAGTGTCCACGCTGACAGGAGCCGCTGTGGAGGCTTCTAGAGGACAGGGGGCAGGGTCCACGCTGACAGGAGCCCGGCCTCCTCAGGACCCGCTGTGGAGGCTTCTAGAGGGCACGGGGCAGTGTCCACGCTGACAGGAGCCGCTGCGGAGGCTTCTAGAGGACACGGGGCAGTGTCCACGCTGACAGGAGCTCGGCCTCCTCAGGACCCTCTGCGGAGGATGTGGGACCACATCCACGCTGACAGGACCATCTCTGGGGGACATGGGGCCGCGTCCACACGGACAGGAGCCCGGCCTCCTCAGGCCCCGCCGTGGGAGGAGAAGGTGAGGAGAAGCCGCCTGAGCGGGGACTGCTGGGGGGGCCGTGCTCACAGGACCCCGGGGAGGAGAAAGGGCGCGCTGTGTAGGCCGTGGGGTTTCCGTGGCTTTGTGTGCGGTGACGTGGGGTCCCGGGGGTGCTGTGCGCGGGGCTGTCCGGGGCTCCCCTCTCTGGACTCGGACCCGCTCCGGCGGCCCCCGCGTCCGTGTTCACGCGCACCCGGCTTCGGTTCCTGGGGCCCCTCCGGCGGTCTGCAGTCAGGGAGCGGGCCCCCGCCGCTGTGTCCGTGCTCCCGCCGCCTCCGCCCCGCCGGGTCCGTCCCGCGTCCACACCCACTTCAGGGCTGTCGGGTCGGGCTCTGCGAAGACCGCGCGGGAGGGTTGGTCGTGAGCGCACTGACTCTGCGGACGGCTTTGGGGACAGTAGGTGCTTTCACGGTGTCCGCTCTTCCATGAACGCGGTGTCTGCCCGTCTCCGTGTGTCTCCCTCGATGCCTGTCCTTAGTGTCGCACGGGTGTCAGACCAGGTCTGTCACCTCCTTGGTGAAATTTCTTCCCAGGTATAGTGTTCTTTTTGATGCAGGTGTAAATGACATTGTTGTCCGTATTTCTCTTTCTGATAGTCTGTTATGAGCACATAGAAATGCAATTGATTTTTGTATATTGGTTTTATTCCTCGCAAATTTATCAAATTTATTAGTTCTGTTACTCTTAAACTAAAACTGCCAGTTACTTTACCAGCAAAATGGGTTTATTTGGGAATAGCAGAGGCTTGCAATCCGGGACAAGCAAGCTACGGCCACCTCACAGGCAAGAAAGAAAGGAGAGAAATATTATTTCTTGGAGAAGGTGCGGGAAGTTGGGAGGGTTGTTTTGAAGGAAAGTCCACTGGAGAGAAGCAGGGGTTCCGGGTGATGGAGGTTCTCACCCGCTGAGCTGCAGGGAGGGTGGATTTCTTGGAGGAGATGAAACCTACATCTTCCCCTTTGGGGCCTGTAACTGATGAGTCTCTCCTGTGGAGGCTTCTAAGGCTGGGTCTGTAACTGACAATTGTTCTTGTAACTGACCCTGAGTGGCAGGCTCCCCCCTCCAGCCTCCCCTTCTGGCATCCCCAGTCCACTTTACTGAGGCTTCCCTTCATGCATTTTCACAGTTCTACCCAGGTTTTGGTGGAGGGTTGTGGAAAATTGGAAATCCAAATCCCACTGCTTCTACTGCACCCAAGACACAGGGGCCGTGGATTTAATCCTCCCACGAGTCTCTTGCTAACATGTGGCCTCCTTCAAGGGCGAGTGGCCTCTCCATGGTGGGTGAACTGGATCTGGGAGGGCTTGGCCTCCATCACGAAGTTTGATGTTGTCTCTGCTTCTATGACCTGGTGCTGACATGGTTGTTTGGAAGAGTAATTGACTCTGCGGTGATTTCAAAGTGCAGTAAACCTGTCACCACAGCATAAATATGCTTTATCTCCACATTCAGACCCCTCAGTTGTTGTTTCCTTACCACATTTACCACTTCACACGAATACTTCAGTGTGTTTTACCCCAAACAGGGAAACTCTCCCACGGAACCACCACATAACCCTGAATGAGGAAATCATCCCGGTTTCCACATTTTAACCCAGACCACAGGCCCACTTCCACTGTCACCACCTGCCCCACGGTCTGAAATGTCCTTTTCCATTCGGATCCATTTTTCTTTTTCTGGAACTGCTCCGAGACTTTCCCTTATTGGCACAATCCTGATGGATTTAAGGAGCACAGATGGCTCCAATCTGAGTGGTATTTTCTGTCTGACTTCTGTCACTGGGGCTGTTTTCAGTGACCATCCATGTTGTGACATGCATCAGTCCCTCATTCACTTTTTCACTGTGACTAAACATAAATAACATTGACCACTTAAAACATGTCAGGTACACAGTTCTCTGGCCTTAGCTGAGTTCCCACGGTTGTACGTCATTCTCCAGAACTTTTTCCTTCTCCTGGAGGGGGACTCTATGCATGAAACACCAACTCACATGACTTCTCTGGAGAAGGATCTATCCAAGTCATTTGTCCTTTTTAAAAATTGGGTTGTCTTTTTGTTGAGGAGTTGTAAAAGCTCTTTACATATTCTGGACAATAGACTCTTACTAGATACATAGTGTACAAATATTTCCTTCCTTCTGGGGGCTGTCTTTTCACTTTCAGGATAGTAACTTCTGACACCAACCTGAGTGGCCATGCAGGGCTGCCTCTGCAAGTAGAGCTGCAGCAGTTGGGTTCTGCACATTGCTTTTATTTCATTTTTTATCAGAAAAGCAAGGACAGATGCCCCAAAGCATGGGAAAGGAGGACAAAGGGATGGCAAATATCCTGAAGCTGTAAAGCAGGCCCGCACCCGCTCCTACTCACAGGCACGCAGGGAGGCAGTCATGGGATAAGGGAAGAGGGGGATGTTTGTGCTAGCAAACACCAGGTGCAGGAAGCGGGGGACTGAGGGTGACATTCTTTCCTGGCTCCTAACCTATGCCCTGCCCCTGGGGATCATGGGATCCTGCTCTTACCGGGACATTGCGTTCAATAGCCTGAGAACAGGAACGCTGCTAACGTTTCAGCTGCTTCCACAATCACTCCTGAGGGTTTACAATCTATTTTCTAAGAAAAGCTCCACACTTCCTCCGTGAGGTGGACTACCTGGTGTGCAGGGAGGTGGACGTGAAGTTCCGCGACCACGTGAGCATGGAGATCCTGTCCCCTCTCTTCGGCACCCCGCACTCCGGTTTCTACTGGGCGGCCCACAAGGACTTCAGCTATGAGCATTGGCCACGGTCCCAGGTGCACACCCCCAGGGACAAGGGTGACTTTTACTACATGGGGACCTTTTTTGGGGGGTCGGTGGTGGAGGTTCACCGATTGACCTTGGCCTGTCACCAGGAGATGAGGGTCGATCTGGCCAGTGGGATCGAGGTTGTGTGGCACCTGAACAGGTGCCTGCTGGACCACAAGCCCCTCAAGGTGCTGTCCCCGGAGGACCTGTGGGACCTGCAGGTGCTGGACTGTCCCCAGAGGACCTGTGAGAACTGCAGCTGCTGGGCCCTCCTAGTATCCAGGACATTGAATGCTCGGCTGTGGAGACCTCCCAGCCTTGGGGCAGCCCCTGTGCAGGGAGGCACCTACCTCAAGGGGAGGGTTGCTTATGACTTCCCACACGGGTGCCCTGTTGCTAAAGGTGGCCGCCCCTCCTCGGGGAGATTGGGTGGGAGAGTGTAGATCTTACTTCAAGAAACTGACTTCATTTCCTGCAAGTGTCTACCCGGTAGTGGGATCATACAGGGGTTCTATTTTTAGTATTTTGGGGAAGCTCCATACTTTTCCCAGCATGGCTGTGCCAACCAAAGTCAGTTCCGGATGATTTTTACCTATAAACCAGAGATTTTTCAAGAACTTCTCCAGCAGAGAACATGAAGAGAACTTTTTAAAGACCTTAGAGAGGCAGAGATATCCCAGAATGCAAAGTATACTAACCAGAGGAACAAACCAGTAACTTAGAAACTATTGAAATGAAGAACTGGTTCTCCTTCCGTTTCTGGCTAGTGTGCTGGTCTGTGGCTCGATCCCACCTCAGGCAGCTGGAAGGTTGACCTCCCAGGTCAGCTGCCACTGAGATGGCTACTGTTCCCAGAAACGCTTTGGGGTGTGGCCGGGTTTCCCCACCTGTGCATGGATCAAGTCGGTGACCTCTGACAGTGGAGCCACAGGTCCTCCAGGCATGGTCCCCCCCCATTCCCCAGTAGAGCCATCACACGGAGGGTTTAGGCTGAGCATGCTAAGTGATGGATGCACCTGCGGACTGGGATGGGTGCTGCTCACTGTTCTCCCAGACGGGTTCCCAACACACTTCTCTCCAGGGGACCTGCACTGGACCTCCGCTTCCTCATGTTCTTCCTAGAGCTGCTGGTCCCGAGATCAGACACCTGCTGGTCTGAGGGTGACCAGCGCTGCCTCCATAGGGTTTCCATTGCTGGAGTCCTTCCCCAGGAGCTCCACATCTCACACATATTCCCTGCGTGCCTATCCTCCCCTTTGGACTTGCATGTGTTTGGTCTCTGTCCCCGTGGAACCCAGTGATTTGGAGCGTGGTTTGGAAACCTTTCTCTGGTCTTGGGTTGTGAGCAATGCTTTTGCCCTTTGTGGTGTGTCTTCCAGCTTTCTGCATTTCCTTGGTTTCTGTGTGGGCCACAGGAGGAACCAGCCGTTTCCTGTCTGGGGTCAGGCTGTGGTGTCCCAGGACGAACAGGGGTCTCCGCCCTGAGATTGTGCCCATAATTCCTAAAGGGACCTCTGTGATTACATCTGATGTGTAATCCATCGGGCATTTCAATATCGAATAAGGGAAATTCTATGTCAAATAAACACAGAAGAAAACAAGTCCCCTTTGAAAATAGGTGGGCAGACACAAAGGCACCTACTGCGTGATTCCACTTACAGAAACATCCAGAACAGGTAAAGGAACAGAGAGAGAAAGCAGCTTAGGGGTCGCCAGGGTCTGGGCTGGGAGAGAAATGGGCAGGGAGGGCTTCTGGTTCGGGGACTCCTTTGGGGAAGGAGATATTCTGCGGCAATGTTCTGGGGTGTGGTGGCACAGCGTTGGGCATGTACTTAATGCTCATGACGTGTTCAATTGAAAACAAGAAATTTTATTTAAAACAAATAATAAACAGTATATAGGACATGAAAAGATAAAATAACAGTTAATATGAACCAGAGAGAAAGAACATAGGGGGAAGGGATGAAACACTCTGGTGGGGCGTCAGGGTCCGGCGATGGAACTAAGGGTAATTGTACAAGGAGCTCTCCCTGCAGGGCTGTGGGCTCTGGATGTGGCTGTGGGAGCCCTGCAGGAGCAGGAGTAGGGGCAGGGGTTAGAATACGGGCAGGGACAGGAGCAGGGACAGGTGTAAGAGCAGGGCCAGGGGCAGGGGCAAGGGGAGGGACAGGATCAGCAGTAGTGGCAGGTGCAGGATCCAGGGCAGGAGCAGAGTGAGGATCTAGGTCAGGGGCAGTAACAGAAGCACAGGCAGGGGCAGGGGAAGGGGCAGGAGAAAGGGCAGGAGCAGGGAGAGGGACAGGATCTGGGTCAGGGGCAGGAACAGAAGCACAGGCAGAGGCAGGGGAAGGGGCAGTGGCCCTGGCAGGGGCAGGAACTGTAGCAGGGCCAGGGCCTGGGGCAGGAGCAGGTGCCTGTTCTTCCTGGTCCACGCCAGGCTCTCCGTGGGCAGGTGCTGGGTCACCTGCCGGCTCCTGGTCTCCTCCTGAAGTCGCTGCAGGCACCACCCCTCCCTCCAGAGCTGTTGATGGAGTTGGAGCCGGCTCTAGCTCCTCAGGGGGTGGAGCAGCTGTGAGAGGAGAAAAGCTCACCCCCATGTCTGCTCTCCGTGGGCCTTTACAAGACAGAACCCAGCCCAGCGCTTCCCAGAGAAGCCGCAGCCAGAAAGGGACCCTCACGGGGACGTCTCTCCGACTGCGGTCCACCTCTGTGCCCAGTCGTTGCTCCTGGCCCCACACCAGCCTCTGGGGGCTCCTCCCTGTGGACCCAGCACCGACCCATCCCCACACACCACAAACACCCAGCCCCAGCCTTCTCACCCTCGGGCTCAGCCTCCTTGGGCTCCGGCTCCTGGACTGTCTGGTGAACAACCACCTGGGACAGTGGTCTGGGTGGTGTTGGAGGTCTTGCCCGGCAATCCCCAGCATCTGTTCCTGGGGACGCCTGTGGGGTCAACCCCTCTGTCAGGGTGGAGGGCATGTCCGCCAGCCGCCTCTGGAGGTCATCCGTGGCCTTCTGCAAAGACAGGGACGGGTAGCCGGCTGGAGGCATCACAGCCCTGCCCAGCCATCCTCACTGTCCTCCTGCCCAGTCCCCCTGCTGCTCCCAGATCAGACACAGACCTGTGCGTGCACAGCCCTGCACCCGGGATGCAGTGACCCATCCCTGCAGGGCTATCGGGATAAATCTTGGGCAGAAAGAGCAGCGCCCACACACCCCATCCCACCCAGCCAGCCTTGGCCTGGGGTGTGAACATGACCTGCCCACCAGGCATTTGACCTCCTGCTCAGGGTGGCCCCACCCTACCTGAGCCCTCTTTACACACACACACTCACACTCTATCACACATATGCACACACACTCACACAGGGAGGGCACCTGGGGCTACACAGGTCAGATCAGAGTGAGTGGGGCTGGGTGGCTGGCTCTGGGCCTCCTGGTGTCACTTTTCTGTCCTTCCGGCCAAATGGCCAGAGGCGTCGGGGAGCCCTTACATGACATCCCCAGTGGGGGACAGCGTCTGCAGGGCGCTCTTTCTTCAGCCTGCAGCCTCCAGACTTTGGGATGCAACACGCAAACATGTTTGTTCGAGGATCTCCAACGAAATGAGCTGGCCAGGGGGCTGTCTCTGGAATGTGGGTGCCTAGTTACTGGGGTTCCAAATTCTGTTGGGCTCTGTTGCCAGGGAAGTGAGGTCACTACTACCTGGGGTCCCCTTACCTTCTCACCCAAGAGCCCCCTGAAGGCCCCTCTCCCCCAGCTGCTCAATGCTCACCCTCTCCCCATGCCCCATCCATACAGTGACACCCACACAGCCCACCCACAGCCCCCGGGAGGCCTGGGTGCTGCCGGTGTCCCTGCTGTGAGGACACAGAGCTGGGTTCAGACTGGGCTCCTGCACGTGCCCAGGGCTGTGACCCTGGACAGACCCTGTGCCTCTCAGGGCCTCCCCAGGCTCCCCATCTGCACATCGGGGTATTCTGGCTTCTACTTCTAGGGACGCCATCAGGGGTAGGACCTCTACACATGTTCCATACCTGCTATCACAGGAGGTTGGTGCACACTTGGCAATGCAAGGATGAGCCAGGGGCTGGGCGGGGCATGGAACACAGCTCAGAGGGGCCTGGGTCTGCTCTGGGGTCCAGGCAAAGCCACCCGCCTCTTGCCCATGTCCCAGCCCCCGTGGGAAGGTTGTAATGGACTGATTCTGACCTTGTCCTCACACAACACAGACTTCCAGGGGCTCCCATTAGGGTTAGGCTCAGGTCCCAGGGCCTCGTCTGTGCCCATGTGCTGGGAAGTCCCCACAGTGGCTCCCGGCATCCCCGAATCCTGGTCACACGTCCCTGTGGAATCCCCTCCCCTCCAGGGTGGATGGCCTGTGTTGACTGCGCTCTCAGGAATAGAATGGGGCAAAATGCTGGGATGTCATTTCCAAGCTGATGGAGGAAAGTCTGTGACTTCTCCTGGTTCCCTCTCTCCTGTGTTCATTCTCTGTCTCCTTCTCTGTCTCTGTCTCTCACCGGAGCAGGATCTGCAGGCTCCGGGGGCCATGTGAGAAGCGTCAGAAGCCTCCCTTGTCCCTGTTTCCCTCTCCGGTCCTGGTGCTCCGTTCCTTCCTAAGGCCTCCTCACCCTGACCAGAACAGTGACTCTAGAACCTCTTCCAGACGGGGACCCTGAGGCTGCAACAAGGAGGGTCCTGACCTTGGTCTCCAGACTAGTGGTCCAGTGCTCTGCCACGTTCTGCGTACCCAGGTCCTCAGCCCCCCAAGCCCCCAGGCTGTCCTCTGCTCAGAAGGACCTCAAGGGAGTACAAAGCATTTTCCCAGGACTGGGAGCACAGTGGGTCGGGGATGGAGATCCAAGGCCAACAAGCTCTTCCACAAGCCTGTGGGACCCTAGGGACACCGCATCTCTACAGCCCAAGTGACAGAAGAGTAAGCTGAGGCCTTTTGTGCTATAGCCCTGTCTGGACTTGGGGGTGGGTATCTCTTCCAAGTGCCCAGGGTGGTGATGGACACTGGAACCCAGACTCTGTCCTCTCCCAGTGCCCTGGCACCCCCCCTGGGCCCCTTGGGGACCCCTGACCATCAGCCTGGTATGTTCCCCCTTCCCATGCTATGGATCTGGGTCCTTGCCAGGAGTCCTGATGCCCCTGCCCCATGGCCCAGCTGTCTGCAACCTCTTTCTTCTTTCCCCCTTGTCATCCACCTCGCTCCCAGGGTGTCCTCCCCTTCTGACCCCCAGCTGGGCAGGCAGAGTGGTGTGTGTGGGGGTGGGTGTGTGGGTGTGCAGGTACACATGCCTCTACATGCATGGGGATGCCAAGGTCATGTTCCCACATGGGACGGGGTGGGTAGCTATCCCCGAGGATCTGAGGGGCTCTCACCCCCACAGCAAACCTCATGAGAGGGTTGGGGCTGGCCTAGGACTGGAGAGCAGCCCTGCTCCTTGGACTGTGCACCCCTCATTTGTCTTGGGCCAGGCCCTGCCTCTCTTGACTCCAGGTTCCCAACTGTCCCTGAGGGTTGGACATTGAAACAGTTGAATGTGGCCGCTCTTTCAGGGGTAGGTGGGGGACAGGTGCACCAGGCACACAGGCCTCCCCACCGAGAGGGCCAGCCCTGTCTAAGATGTCTGGCAGCCCTCTCTAAGATGTCTCCAAGATGTCTGGCAGTTCTAAAATTCTGACTTTAAATTATCTGTGTGCTTCAGAGATTTGGGCAGGAGAAGGGGAGCAGCCCAGCATCTGTGACCACCTCTGTTACCTGTGTTGACCATGGAACAGGTAACCTTCCGTAGGCATCATTTTGATTTCTTGGTACTATTGTTAAAGGTGCTTTTGTCTCAATTCCTCCCTTTAGTAGTAATTCTAATGATAATGGAAAATATTTATCTTTTACCATCCATGGGCCCGGATCCTGGGCTCCCAGGGAAGCTATCCTTTAATGTTTTAGCAAGCTCAAAATGACTGGGCAAAACCTCAGAGCATGAACCCTCTCTCTGCCCCAAGCGCATATTGTAGATCTGCTTTGAGAAGAAAAAGATAACCCAACAATGCCACTGCAAACATATAGTTAAGAAAAACAAAACAACCTCTCTGGCTCCCATAAGATTAAAGTCATACTGACTTGCACATACTGAAAACATAAGAAAA